AAAACCTTTTCTTTTCCTTTCTTCTCTCACATTTTTTTCCTCTCTCACCTTTTCTCTCGTTCTCTCTCCCTCCCTCCCTCCTCTCTTTCTCTATTCTTTTTCTCTCTGAATTTGTGTGAATTGAAGTGCAACAACAAGGGGGTATTTATAGGCGTGATTTGATAATGATAGTTAGCTAATTAAAATTCTAATAGGACTCTTAATTTAAATTTAGATTGGCCTTTCAACAAATAAACTTATCACGAAATTCGAATAAAAAAAATTTCTAACTACACGATGATAAGTTCTAGCGTGGATATGTGCAAATTTCAAGTTTTATCTAAATATTTTTATGTTAGATAATTCGATAATAATTTAATAGATATCCAAAATAATATTAAAATTTAATTTCGCGTAAAACTCATATATATCTAATTATTAGGAATATTAACACAATGTTACTAAAAAATGGTAAAGTTGTTAAGTTACCTTAAAATCTCAAAACTTGCATTTATGTCTCATAATATATTGTACGTGTTTTTGGGGTATTGCAGCTTTCTTCCTAAAAGATGGAGAAGTATGAGGGTATTTTCAATTATTATTTTTCTTGTTGCTATGAAAAGAATGAAATGGAGATGTATAATTATATGACAACTAAGAGATCTTTAAAATGGGGAAAAGATACGGGAGTGATGGAAAGATGTGAAGTGGTTAGAAATTAGTGGGAACATTAGAGATAATGCGAAGGGATGTTCGGGATATTTTGTTTATGGTTAGGATAAGAATCTCTTTCTACTTTGACTAGGACCTGATTTGTCCCACTAACCGATAATGTGTAACATAATAAACACAATACACTCACACACGGTCACCTTGTAAAATGGATTCAAAGTCACATGCCTGAGGATAAAGTCGAATTCATTTAATTGGTTAAAATGAAATTAGCAATTAAGATATATCAATTATCTTTCAAAATTTAAAAATAAGCATGGATTATAATATAATATTATTTTTCTTTCCTAATTATCTTAAAAGTATATTATTAAGTAATAAAAATAATATATGTTAAACACGTGTCTTTGGATTGAAATAAAATGGGCTTAACTTATACGAAGTTACATTTTCTTGAGTCTAACATATGTTATTTAATGCAGGCTACAAAATGAGCCCATTATTGATATACTTTATTTTTAAAACACGTAAAAATTTTCGGAGTGTTACAATCTCACCCCCTTAAAAAAATTTTGTCCTCGAAATTCACTTTAGTTAATCAAGGAATTCTAGATACTTGGTCATATTGTGATAAAAATAATGACGTTCATGTCAATCTTCTATGTATCGTAGTACAATTCTATAATGGTCCCTATGGGGACCAGTCATTTCTCACACTCAAGCACTAAGCCTAACAAAGTATGCTTACATTTTATAATGGTAACGTAGTGTATTTCATGCTCGAGTATACATTTATATAGGTAAAGGAATCATGCTTTGCTTAAGATATAAAACATAAATTCAGCGAGGAAGAATGTTGCATGTCATGAAATCTATAAAGAGACGTAGAAAATATAAAGTTACACAAAAGATTTGAATAATCATTTCTTTCCTTACTCATTACACACACATTAGAGTCGTTGGAGGGTGGTATATCCGTGGTCTTTGAGTGCCAAGGGACTTTCATATTGTTACATAATTAGGAACTTTGCAAAATTTTACACAATAGGATTAATAGCAGAAACCCTCCCTAAAAACGTTTCCAATTGCGATATATTTCCCTACCTATTGGAAATCGCAGGAAACCGCCCTATTTGAAACATTTTGTGCGATATCAAATGATACCCTATTGTCAGATTTTCCGTTAAAAACAGTAAAAATGTCAAAATTAAAAAGTAATAATTGCATTTTTAGTATCTAAACTTTTTGTTATTTTACAAATTGTACCCAAATTTTTTTTTATGTACCACCTACAATCCAAAACATTTAAAACTTTATTTGGAATGAGAAGAAACGAAACTTTAGTCCACTGGATCCCACCACCAACAGCCTAGTCTCACTTTCCTCTACACCCTCGTCTCACCTCTTTTTGGCTACCAAGACCACTGGATCTCACTACTAACAGCCTCGTCTCCCTCTCCTCTATAGCCTCCAACCAACAATAAGCCATGAAACAACAAGAATTAGCAGAAATTGTAGCCTAAAAACCCAATATCGTACACCCCTCTTCTGCCAGAAAACCCATCTCCGGCAATGCCTAGGTCGTGCACCACCACCTATTGATAGCTCTCATTTAGACGATTATGATTATGACCTAGCATCAACTAATAATGCACCATTTCGTTCTAATGATGATCAAATAGATTCGGCAGTCATGAACTCGAATTTGCCTGCTTCAATTCGTGTTTCACGCGACACTGAATCAACAAATTGGCATTAGTCAAGTCTTAATCAGGTTCCTTCAACCATGGGTAACATTCCAATTTCATCAATTGCTCCAACAATCGTCCCAATTTCAGATTCAAAGTTTGCCCCCCTCCTTGCGAATGACAGCTCTCCTTTTTCAATTGGGCAATCTACTGTGCTCCAATCCACTAATTCAACCATGGACAATTCAATTCAGCCACATGCAACATTGGATCATGATTCAATTGTTCCAATTGATCCATTGAGAGAAGAGTAAAAATGGGGGGAAGAATTTTGTAGGTTTTTTGTTTAGTTTGGGGGGGGGGGGGGGGGGGGGGGGGGGGGGGGGGGGGGGGGGGGGGGGGGGGGGGGGGGGGGGGGGGGGGNGTTTAGGATCACAACTCTAATTATTCATTTTTTATTTTTGCAATTTTTACTATTTTTAATGGTAAAATTAACGGAATTGGACGTTAGGGGAGTATTTCGCACAAAATGTTTTAAATAGGGGGATTTTCTGCGATTTTCAATAGGTAGAGGGTATATCGCAATTAGAAACGTTTTTAGGGGGGTTTTCTGCTATTAATTCTTACATATTACTTTAAACTTATAAATCTAAAAAAATATTCTTAATTATTAACACACATCACGAATAATTTGAGCTAAAAACATAGGTACTTGTGATGCGTAGCATATAAAACATGTATGTCTAATGTGAAAATCATATTCTTACTTTTTTTTTTAATTTAAAAAAATTGAAATAAGAGGTAAGGAAATTACGCGAACGTACCTGTCCATGGCTTTATCTGAAATATTATATATTTTCAACTAAAAGTTATTATTAAATGACAAATATGTTATTTATTAAAAATTGCGTGTCGGACCATCAGTGCATCATAGGCTACAACTGCTTGGCATCACATGCACTTTTCTGCCAGGTGCCATAGTGATAAGTATTCAATTGAGCACGAACAAGCACACTCAACTGGGACGATTCATTACTCTTGGGTAATGAATGACTAAGTGATGCTACTCAACCATACACAATTAGGTTAATAGGTTGAAGTTGTCACTGATAAAAAATATATTGAATTGGTTTGTCAAGTATTTCTACTAAAATGGACTTAGAGAGCATGTTTAGTTAAGCTAATTAGTCAGCCAAGCTTGTAATATTTCAAGCCAAACATGTTTGTCTGTGCTTCTAAGCATTCTTTTTTTATTTACTTAAATCATGTTTGTCTGTGCTTCTAAGCATTCTTTTTTTATTTACTTAAATTTATAAGTCGTTTCTTTTTTTAGGGAGGAGTTACTGTCAAAACTAGGAATGAACTTATTTTCTTCTGGCCACTAAACTGACTTGTATACACTACATATTGTAATAAAGTCTACTAAAAATATATGATTACTTAATATAATATTATAAAATTCATTGATATAATTTGAATGTCCTTTTGGCCATTTGATGTTTAACTCTGCTTCTATTATTTTTTTGCTAAGGGTTAAATGCATTGCGGGTCACCCAACTTTGAACGAAATTGCAATTGGGTTACTCATCTTCATTATGGTGCAATCGAATTACCCAACTTCAATTTGCTTACAAATCTGGTGACTCTGTCTACTTTCAATTTAACCAACGTAATATGCCGATTGAACTTAAAAACTAATGGATTGTTGAAACGTAAAAGCATGTTTTTAGTTCACTTTTTTTTTTTTGAAGATGGGTGATGTGTATTGGTGTATGAAGTGGACAAACACGCGAGTCATCCGTTAGTTAATGTCCATGTCCATGTCAATACATTACATTATTTAAATTAACGGGATAATGGACAATGACCAGATTTACAACTAAATCGAAGTTGAGTGACCTGGTTGAACTAAATTAACGACAAGTGACTTGGATGCAATTCCACTCAAAGTTGGGTGACCCACAATGCATTTAACCCATTTTGCTAGACATAAAAGTACCGTTATTGCAATTTAATTTATCGAAACATGCATCCTCCAAAGGTAAATAGACTTTTTTTCTTTAGTGAAGTACTTTCAGGATTAATTAATGGTAATGGAGTGGGGTTTGGCATTGCCCAATGAACCTTACCTCCATTGAAATGCAACCAACCTTCAGTAAGCAACCAGGTAACTAATTGTTTTACTTAGATGTGAGTTCTTTAAGTTAAAGCCTGCCTCACATGCTCTAAATATTTTGCCATATTCTTATCTGATTATTTTGGAGGCCAAGTTTTTTCAAAAGCCTCAGAGCATGGTTGCAAGTTTTTATCTTTCTTTCTGCATCTTCCATATTAGTTTGGAGTTCGACTTCAAAAAATACCAGGAAGAGAAAAAGAACCAGAGACTTGATAGCAAGGCCGACAACTAAGCATGTGGTGGTAGAGAGGGAGGGAATCACTTGCAAAACTCTTGCAAAATAGATATATAGCATAGCTTCATGTGCTACTGTTGATTTCATTCCCAATTTGCTTCTGGCTTATGATGTGCATTTAGTTCGTTAAAATTTCCTTTCTCTTACGATCATTTTTTTCCAAATCATTTTCTGATCGTCGATTTTTATTAAGATGTTACACTTGCTGAGCACCTTTTGATCTTTCATAATATATTTTTGCACCTTGTAGGGACCTGGTCCAGATGCTCGGGTAGTTTATATAGATGGCGCATTTGATCTTTTCCATGCTGGACATGTGGAGGTATAAGATAATATATCCCATTCCATTTACTTAACATTGATGCTACGGAGGACCTTTATGCCATATTGGAGAATTTTCTTTATGCGTTGATTACACTCAAAGAATAACGCGGTAGTTGTAGCACAGCTCTGGGGTGTCGTATCCACAGGGAGATGGAAGAATATTTAAAGGATCAAAAATGCTGAATTGTTCTCTCAAATGTGTAATAAAATTCAATGTTGAAACGGGAAATTAAAATCAATAATTCGAAGCGGTGAAGCGTCGGAATTCCCTCAATTGGATTTGATCAATCATATCAATTATTCATTTTTATAACACAATTAGAGGCTTTCATCCCGACACTCTAATCGGAAGATATATCGTGAAAATCAATTTAATTTACAAATGTAATCCTAGAATTTAGACTTAAGACATATTCGCACAATTTTATTGGAACAAGATCAAAGATCGACCATATACATCAA